CGTTATTCTTCAGACTAGTTGCTTGATTATAGTTGACCAGAAAAATCATATATCGACAGGAAAATCTGAACTTGACCAAAATATAATGAGTTGGTTACGTTTTTGAGAATAAACCTGGTGCTTTCTAATGAAGCGTTCAGCTCGATGGTGTTCACATTATGTTCACATATTGTTCACATTTCAGATAATTGTTATCGGTGCCACTTTTCTTGGTTATTATATTCACAATAGAGAGCTCAGAGAAGGCAAGCTCAGCAATTATACTGATATCACTACTGGTGTCACATTCCCTGATGGCGACTGGGCCCCATTGTAATTGCCATATGGCAGATAAAAATAAATATTTTTAGAAATATCGATATTAATGTGGTTGTCTTCAGGAAATCATCAGATGTTAGGCCATTTTGTAGTAGGTGAAGATATTGACTTCATATCCTAGGGTTATAAAGTATTCGTCAGGAGCTTCAAGATGATGTGCCCCCTCCATGCAATTTTTTTCTCAGATGGAGCCCAGTTGCCATCTTGAAAGTTTCATCTGTCAATTTCACTTAAAAATAATGTATTCATGCAGTAATTTCATCATCCCAAATTAAAATATTTTGAGTTGACTCGAGTTAACTGAAGTTTCAGTCAGTCAACATCATTATGTTACCGTAGAAAAAAAATAGAATTGGAACAAGTGGTCAGCTCCATCGATTAGTTTACTATGCCCTATGATGCAATACACTACTCGATTCCTCATTTCATTTTCTTTTTCACGTAGAGTAATTATCTTTAAATAAAAGTCTCCCAAATAGCATTTGTTGTGTCACGTAGCTGGTGTATTGAATGCTGTCTTGTTTCATGATCTTTTCTCTAAACGGCAACCCAGGTGAAAATGAAAATGGTGTGGTATAATTCGGGAGGTCTTGAATCTCTTCACAAAGAGGNGATTAAGACCCCATGCATTGGCTTATCCTTGTGTTTCCGCAGAAGTGTGGTGATCTCCGCGGCTTTTATCTGAGCTTTTTGCTGAACGTGTTCCAACTCGGTGACAGAGTTGTGGTCACCTCGCTCAGTGTCGAAAACTATACCGAGTTCATCAGCTGTTCGGGCAGCTGCCCTAATTATTATTACTATTATTATTGTTACAGTCACTGTAACTTCCTTGAGAGAGGTACTGTGCGAAGGTTATAATTTAAATTGAATTTGAATTGCTTTAGTTCATATGGAAAACTTGTCATGTGAAGTTTATTCCACAAGAAAGCTGTTCCACCAAATGAAATAATTCTCAAAAAGTGTAGCTAGCAGTTTCGTTAGCGGTGGTTTGGTGGATACTTTTGATATATATCATTTTTGGTGGAGTTAAGCAATTAAAACACTTTTTGTGAAAGTATCCATAGAAAAGTCCCAACTTTGAATCGATTATTTCCTGTAATCAGAGTTGCTGATGCTATTTTGACCTCCAATTGGGGTGATGGCTTTGTTTCAGAATCGATAGAGCTGCTAGGTGTTTCTTCTTGTCAATGTCAAAAGTTTTTTCCATTCTCAATCACATTTTTTAATTACGAGTGCTTTTTCAGACCAGTATTTTTCTCATTAACTTTTCACGAAACTAGTTGGATTCTTCACTATATAAACCCTCCTGGTAATAGAGTCAATTGCTACAAATGCAATATGCATATATACATACGACTCAAAAACCAAAGAAGGATAATGATGTGGAGTGTACTTCAGATCACTAAGCCTAAGGATTGAGTGGGAGATGGGAAAAAATTCCAACGTGGTTCAAACAGAAGTGGCTGGTATCTCAATCGCCACAAAAAAAATAATTTCTGGCAAAAACATTACAATCTGCACTGATAGCAGACAAGCCCTATAAGCCTTGAACAGACAATGTGTCACCTCAGGGTTAGTACTAGAGTGCCACCAAGATTTATCCAAAGCTTCGGTAGATAATAACATTATCTTGAAGTGGGTTAAAGGGCACGACAGGAGTAAAACTAATCGCATTGCCGAGTGTTCACCCAAGGAAGCGGCTGGACTAAGGATTTTAGGACCCAGTGGCACCTACGGCCTAATGACTTCGACAATTGCGGAACAAGCCAAACATCATACCCATGCTCAATCTCTAAAATGATGGGATGGAATCAAAAGATATAATCTTGCCAGGGTTACTCTTGGCGACTCTGGGAAGCTGGCGATGACCAAGAAAAAGCAATGCTCAACAGTGACTGGTCACTGTCGAATGAGGAATCACCTCCATAATAAGGAGCTAGTGGACACATCTCTGTGCAGGATGTGTGAACAGGAAGATGAAACTGGCAGGCATATTCTTTGCGAGTGTCCGAAGTTATCGTCAATAAAAGAGTGTGTGTTTGGTGAGTCTAGGCCTACACCTGCCGGTATAAAGGAGATGTCTCCCAGTGACCTGTCTACCTTCTTGGAAAGGACAAGATGTACGATGACCTAGGAGGACAACTCCTCGGGAGGATGTGAACATGTGGCCTGTGCTCTGGGGCTACAGTCACCACCCCTACTCTTCAGATACAGAAACCCTACTTGTATATTTTCTTTGAAGTATACAGTAATGACCCTCCTTCTTGAAGAACCTAATCTGGTTCCTAACCTAAAAAACGCCCAAATATTGGTTAAATTTTGATGAACTACACCTCACCATTCATTCTCCACGAACTTTATTTTTGAAAAATACCTGGACATGTTTCGCTAACACAGTAGTTTGTGGAGATAAAATCATAAGGTGTACTTTATGAAATTAGCGGCCGAATCAATCAGAAAATTTGTTTGAAAATTTTTTTCGGCAACTATAGTTGTCTTTATTCCTCTCTTGCTTTGATTTTGGATAGAAGCAAACGGTAGCTTCTTTTTTATTAGTGCAATGAAACATCAACGTACTATTTACAACCATTTGATACAGTTCACTCATCGTTATCAATTGAAAAACCTCAACTGGGAGAAATGCATTTTTCATCTTTTTTGTCAACAATAATTATTTATGATGTTTTTTTCATTTTCAGGATCAAAGTTCCTATGTTCAGAAGTAATAGCCCCCATAAGAAGCGAGGTGGATGACATTAGTCTTATAATAATTAACTTCGAGGACCTCACAACGGTACCAGCGTCCTCTCTAGAGAATAGTCCTATTGGCAAAAATAGGTTAAGTAAATGTAGGTAATTGATTCAATTTATTATTGTTTCATAAGATATGGATTTAAGTTTGAGCAAGCATGTTACATAACTTCATTATTGCATTACCAAGTTGTGAATAATTCAGTTCGGACTTCCATTGTCTAATATGATAATGCAAATGAAGGTCTGGAAAAGGAACTGGGCATCATCAAAAATGACCTTCAATGAAATGGTTACTCCAAAGTGAGAGTAGAACAGACTTTGGCTAGAAGACAGCAGGAGTCTCACAAGGAAGAGAAGCCGCCACAACCAGTACTTGTACTTCCCTACATCAGAGGATTGTCGGAAAGGATAAGAAGAATTGGGTTCAAGTATAACATCAGAACCTGCTTCAGATCTGGAAACACTATCCGTAGCAGCCTCACGAAAAGCAAGCCACCAAACGCGGACTGCGCTTCCAAGAATTGCATTTAACAGATACCCTGCGAGTGCCGAGAATCATACATCGGTGAAACTAAGAGGCCATTGAAAGTTCGCATTGCCGAGCACAAAAAACACACACAGCTAGGAGAAACCAGCAAATCAGGAATAGCAGAACACGTTTGGACTCATCAATATGACATCAAGTGGTGTCGAGCTGAAATCATCCACCAGGAGGAACACTGTCTTGGAGGGAAGTTCAAAGAAGCCTCATATATAATGTTCAACAATGCATTTAGCCAAGCTAGCGTAGAGATACGCAACATTCAGAAACGGTCAGCTCCCGCTAAAACCGATGAAGCGGAGAGAAGGAATAGGGGAAAACACACGAATGACCCATGAATAGTCATCTCTCGTAGAAATTAGTCCAGTCATCACCCGAAGACGATTGTAGATACTAACAATCGAAACATCGCGTCGTGAACTAACGCGACTTGGAATCTCTCCACTTTTTATTTTTATTTTCTTTTTTCATTTCTTCATTTTTAT